ATCTGAGTAGCTGTCCCACACACACACAGCTGCCCTTCTCAATTTCCTGGCCTCTAGAGGATACCGGGTGTTCCCCCAGAAAGCCCAGCTCACACAACCTGAACTTCGCCCTGTTAGCCAAACCTCTGTGTGTGGCTGCCAAACAAATGCCTATGGGGCCCCTCACCTCCCCCCCTGAGGTTTGCAAGCTGTTTGTTGCTCTCGGTGACACCCTCCTGTCTTTACCACCTAACCCCTCTCAGCCCTTCTGTTTGTTCACAGATGAGCGCCATGGAATAGCTGTGGGGGTCCTAACACACCCGGTGGGCCCCTCCCACCACCCGGTAGCCTACCTCTCCAACAGCTCAATACCACTGTTCAGGGGTGGCAACCCTGTCTACAGGCGCTAGCGGTGGCCGCTGTTCTAATCAAGAATGCTTTAAAACTTTCCTTATATCACCATATCGCAGTCTTCTCCCCTCACAGAGTCCACAAACTGTTGGCACATCGGGTGCTCTCTCTCCTAGACCCCTCCAGGATACAGGAGTTCCATTTGTTGTTCCTGGACAACCTGGAGGTAACTCTAAAGCCTTCACCACCCCTTAACCTGGCATCCCTACTCCCTCTCCCCTCCTCTGATGCAGGGCCTACCCACTCTTGCCTGGAGGTGGTAGAGGCCCTGACTCCACCCAGGGACGGACTCTCAAATCAGATACTTCAGTCCCCAGACCTCACTCTGTTCGTGGATGGTAGTTCTGTCTGCACTCTGCAAGGCCACTGGCAGGCAGCCTATGCTATAGTCTCTGCTGATTCTGTTCTCGAGGCCTAGCCCCGTCCTCTGGGCACCACTTCCCAAAAAGCAGAGCTTGTTGCTCTTACACGGGCTCTCAAACTATCTAAAGGGCAGCAGGTAACCATCTACACCAACTCCCAATATGCCTTCCTCATTGCTCATTCAGCTCCTGCACATGCAATATCTCCAGACCTGTGCCATCTACTCTATCTGCTCCAAGGGGTGGGTTCTTTTGATGTAATGGCACCCTCTTCAAATCTATCAATAATTCTTACCCTTGTTCCTATCCGGTAATGCTTGTGCCACAGCTTACATTCTATTCTGAAAAAAAACCCTCTTACTCAAAGCCTTTGCCACTCCCCACCATGCCCACCATGCGGCATTTCTTCCCCTTATCCTCGGTCTCATGTTTGCCACGTCCTTGGCGGCTGGAGGACTGGGCAGGGGTGCACTGGGACACAGCCTCCTTTCTTCCCAAAATCTGGAAGAAAGGCTCCAAACTGCTCTGGAAGCATCTGCAAGCTCCCTGGCATCCCTGCAGCGACAAATAACCTCTCTAGCCCGGGTTACTTTACAGAACCGCAGGGCCCTTAATCTCCTTACAGCCGGCCAGGGTGGAACCTGCATGTTTCTCCAGGAAAAAATGCTGTTTCTACATTAATAAAACAGGGCTGGTAAAGGAAAATGTCAATGTCTTCCGAAAGTTGGGAGACGAACTTTGCCAAAAAAAAAAACCACCGCAGAATCACCCCTCTCTGGTTGGTGGAACTCAGGTATCGTCCAATGGGTCATGCCATTCTTGGGACCTGTTCTACTTATCTGTCTTTTACTTATGGTTGCACCTTGTCTGTTTAATTTTTTGCAGTCTTGCATAAAGGAAATTTCTCGCGTCACAGTCAATCAGCTACTCCTGCACCCCTATCCGTATGCCCCACTTCCTTCCAAGCCACCCCATCCCGGCCTCCCCTAAAACTACGCCCCCTTTCAGCTTGAAGCAGCCAGATTGAGTCAATGCCCCTTATACCAAAGAGGTCAGGATGTTAGGCTCAGGGGGAAGCAGCACTCACCTTCCCCCATCTGCCCCTCCACCCCAAACCTACAACCACATACTTCGCTTAAAGCTTCCTGGAACCTGCCGGCAGCTGCCGAGAAGGGCCAGACAGAAACTTTCCAGCCCACGCTGGATGCGACGCTTTGTCTCCCCGCTTCACTGCCATCCCCAACACCCTCCCCAAATACAGCACCCTTAAAAACCCAAGCCTGCCCCTCCTTGGGCGCAACTCCCCTGGTCCATCTTTCCGGACCATGGGACCTCGCCCTGGAGTTTCTCCCCCAATAAATGCTTGGTTTATACCGGCCCTTTATCCTGTGCCTCTTTTGGTATCTCCAAACGTTACAAAAGCAATACAAAAACAGACAATCATACAAACAAACAAACCCCCCCTTGGTGTACTCTCACTCAAAAATATCCATACATAAACAGAAAATCTATTAAAAAATTGATTAAAAAGAAAATAGAAACAAAGCAAATACAAAAACGTAAACAAAAACAGAAAGAGTGAAAAAAAAAGATAAAACTGAAACAAAAAACAAACAAGAAGTAAAAAAAAAAAACACCTCTCTGTGGCCATTTCTGTGGTTCCAGGTTCATATCAGGCCTCCACCTTAGGGAGCAGCTCTGGTCTCCAGTTCCTTCCCTCTGCTCTCAGTGCAGGCTGATAGGGTTGCTGTCAGCATGGTTCAGATGCCTCATGGACTACTGTGGCAGGAGAATGGATTAGATCTGAACTCAACCTTCTTGCTGCTGCTGCTGTCAATTCTCCCAATCAGATCTGATATGTTTGTGCCCATTCCAGTGTGAGGGAGGAGTGTCTGTCTCTCCAAGTCTGATAAGAAGATAGCCTCTGGGTCTCAACTTTGAGACTGGGTGGAGCTGGACAGGGCAATGCAGATCTCTGCTGGGTCCTGGGACTGAGAAGATGGCATCTGTTGGCATCTTGTCATTGGTGGAGTTTTATTCCAGATTTCCAAGACCTGTCTCTTCCTGCTTGTGCTCAGTCTGCTACTGCCGGTGATGGCATGGCAGGTGGTGAAGGGAGACTGTTCTCTGCTGCCTCCTCTCAAGAGAGCCCAGAGAATGACAGATGCTCCTGCACACCTGGGTTTCCAGTCTCAGGGCGGTGGTGGGTTGCAGTCACCTCTGGAGGAGAGCCCCGGGTGCATGAACCTGAGTCTCCCCTCATTCAGACTTTCACTCTCCCACCGGCACACACCCACTCATGCGGAGGGTCTTTATGGACACTCATTTTTGCAGAGGCTTTCACAGTTCCATCAGTCCTGTTGCCATCTTGCCTGGAAGCCCCCAATTCTGCTTCTTCCTGATGAGTAACATTTGCTCAGATTTTTCAATACAGCATTGATAACTAAGTTATTCAACTTGTCAGTTTAAAAAAAAAAATTTTATACTGGGGAAGAGAATAAAAAGAAAATAGCCCCTATACTGGGCATATTCTGTGGCAGCTTCTTGTTCCATAGGGTTAGGGAAGACTTTAAGGTAATAAAGTTGTTTGGAAAAGTTCAGGTGTAGTTGCTTTGTATGTTGCGATGGACAGAAGGGTTTGAGGTGAAGTGTGAAGACCCCTCACACTCTTCATCTTGCCTCAGACTATGTCTTGGAACCCTGGGGAGCACGGTACTTTCACTCCTGCTTTTTGGGGTTGTTGACTGCCATGTAGTGGTAGGGAATGTCAAGCAGGAAGAGTGACATGCCCAGCATGTTGGTGAAGATGGCGAGCTGCCCGTCTACGATCATTCTACGCAGCCTTCCCCCTTACCGTCTGCGAGCTTGTCAGTCTTCTCAGAGAAATTACACGCTGCTCTGAATGATTCTCTATGTTACTTGAATACATTGTGCTATATATTTATATGGTGCCACATTTATTGTCTCTCTCACAGACAAATTGCTTTGGGAGGCTTCAGACATACTTTGAATGTCTGTACAATCGGCTTTTTTTTTAAAAAAATTACTATCCTTTTCTTAAAAAATTAGATTTGAAAAGGAACAGTTGCCTTGTTTCTGGTCAAATCCCAATGTAAAGTGATTATTGATTCCTTTAATATGTGGTGGTTCGATATTGTCTTGGGGTTAATGTGCGTCCTTTCAGGGGTAGTAGGTTGTGTATATTACAGGAAGTGAGGTTTCACAAAAGGGGGGAGAGGAGGAGCCTATTATGTGTCATAATTTTCAATTATTCATACTTAGTTCGAATTCAATCTAAACTGGTGTAAGTGGGGAGTCGTAGTATCTGATGAATTTCAAAGGGGAAGAAGGATTGGCTATCAGTCTAGGAGAATCAATTGGATATCAGAGGAATGTGGAGGCAAAAATATTCTTGGGTAGCTTGCATAAAACTTGCTTAGCAGGGTTTGCATGTTTGCTTTAAAGCTCATCTTTTGCTTATTTACCTAAGAATATTGATTAGCCACCTATTATGAAGCATGGCTGTGCTTTGTGCTGGAAGAGACAAAGGAATTTATGAGACATGGTTCTTCTTTATAAAATGATTTTAAGACAATACAAGGTACCTATCATATACTCACTAAATATTTTTTGAGCACCCATGTAGACAGGCACTACATGAAGAGGTATAAAATATTCCTTTATAGAGAATATCTGTTAATTTTTCCTTTGTGTTAATTGTCTGCTTGCTCTGAGAGGTTACAACTTAATGGCAAATAAGCACTATAACTACTGGCATTCTAGTTTCTGAATTATAGGGTAATGCTTTTTAACAGCATAGATAAGGGCTTTCTGGGTCAGCTGCACAAGAGCAAACAACAAACAAAAAGTCAACCAAATATCTCTGCCCTGGTTCTAAAATTAATGTTTTTGAACAAATGAAATGACCCCCAACTGAAGGAAACTAATTATGGTCTGATATGGTCAGATTTGACAGCATAACTTCGTCCCGAAGGACTTTTCAAAAGGAATGGGGAAAGGAGGATGGCTAGAATAAATAAAGAGGGATATGGTTTACATTCGCCAAAGTTAAGCTTTTCTGTCAAAAAAAAAAAGTTACCAAGTGAATCCCATAACTGCTTGGAATTTTCAGCTTTTAAAAATAGTTACTGACTTTGATGTTGAAATTGTGGCTAAGCTGGCCTCCTTTCACTAGAAAGAGATAAAATTTAGTTTTTCTTTCATCTACTCATATCCACACATCCCCTCTTAATAATTATTCAAAGAAATCGCTCATGTAACTCTTGGCTCTTGGCTGACCCACCATACTCACCAGGAAACAGTAGAGTGCCGTCAAGCCGAGCTGCTTGCCCACCATCAGGAAGGGTCATAAAGATGGCCGCTTAGTCCGCAGCACAAATGTAATAGAGACTTGCACAGCTGAAATTTTAGCATTCATGAGTGGAGGAAATAGAGAAAATGCATGTCACTGTGGATTTGCTGATAAGCTGAGGAATGTGTGCAGCCTCCTTGTTTAATCCATTCTGCCAACTGAGCTTTGAACGCTAGCCTGCACTGAATAATAAAGATCCCAATATAGAGAGTTGTGGCAGGCCTCTCATTAGAAGCAGGAAAAGCCAGCGGCTGGATCAACATTTCAGTACTATATTTAGCCTGTGAAAGAAGGAGAAAATAATCACTTTGTCGCTCTATTTCTTTCTTTGGGCTTTGTCCTCATTTAACTTTTTATAGAAGGTTATCTGGTTTATTTGTTTCAAAGTAAGATTTGTCAGATTTGTCTTCATTGCCAAAGTAATATATGTTCTTTACAGACAAATACACACAGAGAAGATGCAGAAATGTTACTCCACCACTGAAAGGAAAAAACAACATGCACACATTTTACTTTTTGCCTAGGTATAGTTTTAACTTATTTGCTTTTTGGACATAGTCTGATCATAATGCATTTTGACTCATCATCCACTTTTTTTTTTAGCCCTTGACAAGAGTGTTTTAAGTGGCTCTATTTCTTCGCGAAGAGTAACGTACTTAATGGGTCTACTGTGTTATTCTTTCCATTTGTTTGCTGTAGAAAATCCCTAAACAACATCTTTGTGCTTAATGTTTTTTTCTCTTCTTTAAAAGTGTTTCCTTAAGATAGATTTTTTAAAGAATTGGATGGGCTTTTAGAATTCATCCAGCAGGGATCAAAGTTTTTGCACATTTCTAAGGCTCTTGATGATAGTAATTTTCCAAAGATATTGTACTAATTTATGTTCCCACCAGCAACATGGAAATGGTCATGGGAAGTTTGACACTGAGGTAGGCTTCAATCTGTCTGGGTTTTTGCTCAAGAAGACCTTAGAAGAGAAGATGGAAGAGTAGCTCTACATGCGCCCACAGTTTTGAATTTTACTTTCCTGACTCCTGCCCCCATTGTTATCTATTTTGCATTTTATACTTTGTGACCTTGGACTTATTTCTCCACAACAGACCTATCCTTTGACTCTGCTGTAGGTCCTTCATTTCATTACAATTAGCCTTTACACTTAGCTGGGATTGATCCCTTTGTTGATAACATTTTCTCCACTGTTCTTCCTCCTATTTTTTTTTTTTAATTTCAATTGCTTTGAGGGATACAAATAGTTTTTGGTCTGGGCTTTGAGTACCAACCACCCCCACTTGTGCATGTTGTATCCAAGAGGCAATTGTTTTTGTCCCCCACTCCTTGCCCCCTCCTCATTCCGAGTCACCAGTGTCTGCTATACCATTCTCTATGACTTTGCAAGTCCTTAGTTTAGCTTCCACTTATGAGTGAGAATGTGCGTTGTTTGGTTTTCTGTCCCTGAGTGAATTCACTTAGGATGATGTTCTCCAATTTCATTTAAGTTGCTGCAAAAGACATTATTTTATTCTTTTTGACAGCTGAGTTGTATTCCATAGTGTATGTATATATGTATGTGTGTGTATATATACCACATTTTCATTATCCACTGATTGGTTGATGGGCATTTAGGCTGATTCATATTTTTGCAATTGTGAATTGTGCTTCAATGAACATGCGGGTACAGGGGTCTTTTTTATAGAATGACTTCTGTTTCTTACAGTGGACACCTAACAGTGGGATTGCTGGATCAAATGATAGATCATCTATCTATGTTTAGTACTTTGGTTAATCTCTGTACTGTTTTCCATAGAGGTTTTACTAATTTACACTCCCACCAACAGTATACAAGAATTCCCTTTTTATGGCATCTGTGCCAGCACCTATTTTTTTTTTTTAAAATAATGGCCATTCTGACTAGTATAAGGTGGTATCTCATCGTGGTTTCAATTTGCATTTCTCTGATGATGAGTGATGTTGAACATTTTTTCATGTTTGTTGCCCATTTGCATGTCTTCTTTTGAGAAATGTCTGTTCATGTTGTTTGCTTACTTTTTAATGGGATCGTTTTCTTTTTTCTTGCAGATTTGTTTGAGTTCCTTGTAGATTCTTGATATTAGTTCTTTGTCAGTTCTAAAGTTTGTGAATATCTTCTCCCATTCTGTAGGTTGCCCATTGGCTCTGTTGATTATTTATTTTGCTGTACAGAGCTTTTTAGTTTAATTAGGTCCCACTTGTTTATTTTTGTTTTTGTCGCATTTGCTTTTGGGGTTTTAGGCCTTAGTTCTTTGCCTAGGCCGATGTCCAGAAGAATTTTTCCTAGGTTTTCTTCTAAGATTTTAATAATTTCAGGTCTGACATTTAAGCCTTTAATCCATCTTAAGTTAACGTTTTTTGTATAAGGAGAGGTAGGGATCAAGTTTCATTTTTTTTACATGTAGCTATCCAGTTTTCCCAGCATCATTTGTTGAATAGATTTCCTTTCCCCGTGGTATGTTTTTGCCTGCTTTGTCAAAGATCAGCTGGTTATAGATGTTTAGGTTTATTTCTGGATTCTCCATTTTGTTCCATTGGTCCATGTGTCTGCTCTCATACCAGTACCATGCTGTTTTGGTTACTATAGCTTTGTAGTATAATTTGAAGACAGGTAATATGATGCCTCTGTCTTTGTTCTTTTTGCTTAGGATTATTTTGGCTATTCAGGCTCTTTTTTGAATATGAAATTTAGGATTGTCTTATCTAATTCTGTAAAAAAAAATGTTGGTAGTGTGATAAGGATTGCATTCAGTCTGTAGATTATTTTTATGTAATATGGTCATTTTCACAATGATGATTCTTCCAACCCATGAGCATGATGTTTCTCCATTTGTTTGTGCCATCTACAATTTCTTTCATCAGAGTTTTGTAGATCTCTTTGTAAAGATCTTTTACCTCCTTGGATAAATATATTCCTAAGTATTTTAGTTTTTTGGCTGCTTTTGTAAATGGAATTGAATTATTGATTTGATTCTCAACTTGCTTGCTATTGGTGTATAGCAGTGTTACTGATTTGTGTGTGTTGATGTTGTATCCTGAAACTTTACTGAATTAACGTATCAATTTCAGGCGTCTTTTGGAGGAGTTTTTAGGATTCTCTAGTTATAAGAGTACATCATTTATAAGAGTAGTTCATTTTTCTTTTCCAGTTTGGATACCCTTTATTTCTTTTTTCTTACTTGATTGTTCTGGCTAGGACTTCCTTAATTGTTGATTTTAAAAATTATAGAGTGAGTCCACTCATATAGTGGACCTTGAACATCTGTTGTAATACTATAAGAAAAGGACTGACAGTGGTGGGAAACTATGGGGGGGAGGGAAAGAGAGGTGGGATTAATGGTAGTAATATCTGTCTGGGGACTGGGAAACACCCCTTATCAACAAGGGTGCCTGAATGAAGCATATTTGTATATCTAACCCTTAACTGTACCCC